CTTTGATGCATGTATGAGGTGCAGTCCTTCAGATGAAAAAATGAGGCTATTGTAGTGATCATTGCAACTTCCAGTGGTTTGAATTACCTTGTGCTCCAGTGTAAAAAGCAAAATGCAGATGACTTGTTCAAGGCAGTTCGATTGAGGCATAGAACGGCTGATGGTCTTCATGCCAGAGGAGGGAATAGAAGCAATGATTAGTATCTTTGTAATAGTGAACATAAATCAGATGTCTGATTTGCAACAAGTCACTTACATTACTTTATCTTCAAAAAGAAGAATATGTGGGGTGAGCCTCAATAAGGATTTGAATGTACACTTTCTCAAAGACAAACATACTATTTCTGTTTAAGGAATCCCAAATCAAAACTGTGCTAATGACTTACTAAATGCATCTTTCAAAGTAGCGGGAGAATGAAAATAAGTGGGGCCCAATACATGTTTGTATAGTTTTCACAGCATATGTTTCTATATAAAATTAGTTTCAATATGATCCAAAATTGTCTCCTGTAGTCTCAGAACACTCAGTATTTTCATAATTGCTTCTGTACTTTTTTACCAAGTAATTGAATACATAGTATTTCACTGAGTTACACAAAACAATTCAATCAATAGATTGTTGCTTTTACAGGGAGCTTATTTTGCCTGGAAAGCAACAGCAATGGGAAAAAATTACGTCAATGGGAAGACATTTCTTGAGAAAAGGTAATGTATTTGATAACTGAAAGGATACTGTGTTCTGTTTGGGTTTCCTATAAAATAGCCAGATTTAAAAAAATGCCCTCTTTTTAAATTGTAAGAAGAAAGTTTTAAAATACCGAAGGTGTGATGCTTCCAGTGTACTTGTTTCTATGTGCACGGGAAATTTGTTTTATTTAAACTCCAACTTTTGTGTTTATGTAGTGTTACTTGAGTGCAGTAAACATTATATTTAGCAGATTTGCAGCAATGTTAGCAGTGTCAGTAGGAAAAGTAGGGATTTTTTAATAAACAAATAATAACTTTGACTATTAATGCCACTCTGCTTACAAATAATATTTGTATGAGAAACAAAAAGATTTTAATAGTTTTGGGGATTTCAGAGACTCTGGGATTATTAAAGTTTGTAGAGGTTTTTGTCCTGAAATAAATTAATGTCTGTTTACAGATACAATGAAGATTTGGAGCTTGAAGATGCCATTCATACAGCTATCTTAACACTAAAGGTTAGCAAAGTATTTGAGAAAGAAGTTTCTTATGTCTTCACTGATGTGATTCGCTGAACTATATTTTTTTTTTTAATAGGAGAGCTTTGAAGGGCAAATGACAGAAGACAATATTGAAGTTGGCATCTGTAATGAAGCTGGTTTTAGGAGGCTCACTCCAACTGAGGTTAAGGACTACTTGGCTGCAATAGCCTAGTAGAAACTGAGGTAGACTGTGTGGTCCACACAAAGGTCTTTTTAATTTTGGCTACTTAAATGTTTTTCTTTGCAGTTTTTGCATACTTATTTCTACATGGTTTGTCTGAGAGATTTTTTAAACATCATGGGTGCAAATACAACGGTCCTTGATATTGTAATACATGGAATCTTGTTAAAGATAATTCTTTCCCTTGATACACAAAATACTGTACAAAATGTAAAGTTATAGTGACAGCTTGAAAAAGGCTAAAGAATAAAATCAAAGGCCATTGTTTTGGGGGAAGGTGTCTGTGTGTCTTTTCAATTCTAGCTTTTTTATCTACATAAAGCTTAGTTTTCAGTATCCTTATTGTTGAGGAAACAGTTTTTCATATACATACAAGATGAACTTATGTCCAGCCTTCTTCTAAAGATTTAAATGTTGAGTGACAGGATAATTTTTTCACTTTGGAATATTGTTTAAATGTTAATTAATCTCCAGAAATAGTTTTATGTGGTGCAAAAAATCATGTACTTTGACAAAGGGGCAGGAAATTTCAGGTGTGCACTGTGATCTGATTGAGCCTCTCTGCTTTTGACCCTCCTGGTCTTTGTGTCACAATAACTTGTTTTACTTGAGTTATTTTCTTGGCCCTAGAAATTACACTTTTTCAGTCTTCAAATATTGTTAGGAAAAGTAGAAGTAGTAACTCTTACTGAAAACTAAATGCATTTATCACCTTCAATAAAAATCAGTGGGATTTACAAAACAGAATGAGAGTATGTAATGTAATTACTTTATCCCTTGAATTGTGCTAAAGTATTTTCCAACTTGCAAGATAATTCTAAAGATGTAATGAAAGGAGCATTTAATTTGTGCACCATAACTGTTACAGATGTCATTGTGTGAATGTATCAATACATTTGTTACATGTGTAGAGTCATTCAAGTTATAAAGACCTACATTTACCACAAAAGAAATGAGATAAATATACCTTTTTCTTTTCTTTTTTTCCAGCAGAAATGATCTGGTCTGCCGCCATTTAAGTTACTGTTTTCAGATTTTATATTTTTTAAGCAATCTGATTGTTATAATGTTGATAATGAACTGGGAGTGGTAGCTGGGTCAGTCTGCTTGTGCATATGGCTAAGGATGTAGGGAAGCAGGTGGGCAGGCCCCATGTCAGCCAGCCATAACTAATGAAGAAAATACAGAATACAAGTAGAAGGTAGTGTATAAGCTGATTGACCTGTGGTTTCTGTCTGTCTTCTGATGGTTTATGTTGTCATCAGGTGAATAAGAATTTCTGAAGCATGCCATAAATGAAGTTTTATTTTCTAATGTCAGAAATAAAAGCTCTGTCCAGAAGGTTCATTAAGAGTTCTGCCGGATCACTTTTTGAGTATTTTACTCTGAAAACCAGGCCGTACTCTGATTCTTATTCTAGAGAAAAATAAAACAACTCAGATCTGAAACTGAATGCTTTATATTGCTGCATCTTTGATTTAGAATATTTATGCACACATAGTTTTTTAATGCTGTATAAATATTCAAGAATTTTCTACATGCAAAAATGTGTGTAGGTACTTCAGAAATTGACTGCAGTGGTTTAGTTTCCTCTGCTAATAGAAACAGTTGATGAGTAAAGAACACTGTATGAATGATAGTTGAAACTAGAGCGAGTTTCAAACTATGGTAAACTGCTCCTTGTTTTGTGTTAAAGGGTATGAGTAGGTCTGTGTGGTCTACTGCCAGTGGTTTTCACTTTGATGAGCCAAGCTGGTGACTGTTTTTACACTGTTAAGAACTAAGTCCCAATACTCCTTGGTAATACTTGCACCCTACAGTGAATCAGAGTTCATGGCACTTGGTGTAATTTGGAAACAAAATGCATAATATTTTGAATTCAGGATTTATTTAGAGTATTGGATAATTTTCTCAGTGGTAGTCAGATAGACCTTGATATTATGCTTCTCTGATGAGGAAGGTGGTAGTGTTTTAAGTGCAGGGATTTTTTTTAACTGCATGTCTAGAATAGTAGCTAAATGTTATTTACTATTTAAAGGGAAATCTTTAAATTGCAGAGAACTAAGTAACATTTTTCCATTTAAATTTTAAGGAAATAATATTTTTAACTTGAAAATATATTTCTTAAATAAAATCACTTCAGGAGCGAGCAGTACTGGTGCAGTGGACTACCAAATTATATGGTGATTGTGCTGATTTTTAAGAAGTGCATCCTTTAGTTGCATGAGATTAGCTTTTTTTAATATATTTTGTAGAAACTGCATAAAGGGGTCAAGGTGCAATGACAAACACTGTTCCTTTGTGAGAAATGACAAATTCAGGCTTGATTACTTCAGCTTACTATGAATTACAACTTTGTGTAATTTAACTTGTTCCTTCTAATGCCGTTGTCTGAAAGAAGCAAAAGACACTCATCACTTGAAGCATGTAAGGTTGATTTGCTTATCCTGGAAGAGGATCTCCAAGGTCCTCAGGACAGTGTGACACATATGATAATTGGGCTTTATTTAACATATGGGATTGGGATCTGAGAACAGTAACTTCATTTAATGAAGTTATTACTTTAAGTCACAGAATCACGGAATGGGTCAGGTTGACATCTGGTCCAACCTCCCTTCTCAAGCAGGATCATCTCAGAGCAGAGGGCACAGGACTGTGTTTAGATGGTTCTGAAATAGCTCCAGTGGGGGAGACCCCACAACTTCTCTTGGCAGCCTGTTCTAGTGTGCTGTCACCCACAGTAAAGGACATACAGGTGCAGTAAGCCCCTTACAACTTGCTCTGGCTTACTGTTGCTTTCCAGATCTTGTGAAATCATTCAGACAAGTAGAGATCATCCCTCCCTGCAAGAACTGGCAATCAGAGGCCAAGTCTCTCCCATACTGTAAGGGAGTATTGCTGCATGGAGACGAGTGGCACCACAGCTCTGTCTGCTGCATGGAGGCAGGCAGCAATATGGGGTAAATGTTGGGGGCACTTGCTCACATATTCACAGAATGATTTAGTACAGCCCTTTTTTCTTGTCTAAATGTAATGGACCCAGCCTGCACATATCCAACATGATCCAACATGTATGGAGGCTGCTGTTACTTCTCCAATGAAATTAAAAGTCCTAATTTGTCTCTGGCCTGTGTCTGTTCCCATTACTCTCTGCTACTGCAGCCTTACAATGAATATTGTGTGCTGTTTTGGGCACCACACAAGATACAAAGCTTGAGAGCATCCAAAGTGTGGCAAAGATGGTGAAGGGTCTTGATGGGAAGCTGTACGAGGAGCAGCTACGGTCCCTCGGTCTGTTCATCCTGCAGGAGACCGAGCCCAAGCCTCGTGGCACTTACAACTTCCTGGAGGGGAAGAGGAGGGGCAGACACTGATCTCTGTGGTGACCAGTGGATAGGACCGAGGCAGTGGTCTAGAGCTGTGTCAGGGGAGTTTTAGGTTGGACAAGAAAAAAGTACTTCACAGAGAGGGTGGTTGGGCACTGGAACAGGCTCCCCAGCCCCAAGCCTGACACAGCTCAAGTGGTTTTTAGACAACACTCAGGCACACGGTGTGACTCTTGGGGCTGTCCTGGGCAGGGGCAGGAGTTGGACACAACTCCTGGTCCATGTGAGTTCCTTCCAACTCAGAATATTCTGAGATTGCGTCTGACCTGGTGTAATGCATTTCGCCCTTGAAGGTTTTCGCGATAACCCGCGGGCGCGCCG